TATCCTATAACTTTCTAAAAACTTAGTCTTGACTCTCTTTTCTCTAAAGCTGTTGGGAAAATAAATGATTTAATTGAATATTCTACGAATAAATAAATGTATGTGTGACATAATATGTGTTTTGTTAGTGAACAAGAGGACAAAATACTTATTTTATTATGAATATATATAGATAGTACAAAGTATTAGCACTTTTTCTTTTATAGTTTTGTAAGATCTAAATATATCTAGATTAATGGAAAATGCAAGTATTTTCAAATTGTAAAACCTGACTATAGCAAGTGTAACACAATATTATTCTGATATCAAAGAACTAGTTAATGTATAGTGATTCCTCCTGCACCCCCCTGCATATTGTCTTATGTTTTTTCTTGTTGGTTATATCTTTGAGACGTTTTGGTTGTGAATGCCCGTAAACATTTAAAAATTGCTTATCAAATCATAGACCAAAATTATATTTTTAGAATGTAATTTTAGAATTTCATTAGGCACTGAACTGATTCATCATAGAACATCATGCATTGTTTGTTTTAGAGAGAATACTGAACAGCTCATATCCTTTGCTTAAAAATAGACACTTTTTTTCTCAAAGCAATTATCTTCTTTCCAGTCCAATTTTCTCTTCTCTGGTATTCAACAGGACTTCAATTCCAATGAGCTTTTATTTTACTATGCTGATCATGTAGTTATGCCATTTTTTTTCTATCTGCCTCAGAGCTGTAGAATTTTAAATGTATTTTTTGATCAAAGCATATTTATTAAGGTATAGCAAAGCCTATATCTTTTGACCTTCAGTGACTGCCAAGAACAGGGTACTGTGACTATTAAGTGTAAGGAGGCAGTTATGTTGTTAGGAACCAGACTCTAGTTCAAATTCTGATTTGCTACTTATTAGTATGTAACTTTGATCAAATTACTTAATATCTCCATGCCTTAGTTTTCTTGCCTATAAAATGGGGGATAGCCTGTCTCATTGGGTTATTGTGAGAATTAAGTATGTAATTATATGGTAAGCCCTTAGAACTGTGGTTGGCACATAGCATTACATAAGTATTTTTACTATCATCCTAAAATCTATTAACTTTCCTTTGAAATTTTAACAAAATTCAAAATAACTAATTCGCAATCTATGAATTTCTTTCTACAACTTTTAATATGCAAATAATAATGACCCAACTCTGTCCAGAGAGCTGAGAAGCATTTCCCATAAGGTTTGGCTAAAATGCTTTAACATTTTTTCATCTTTATATTGTTCATTTGCCCGTTCAATCATTCCTATTTATTGAACACTTATTATGGTGCTTGATTACTCAGTAAGGAATAAACAGGAAATATTCTCTACTACCTGGAAGCTTATATTCAAGTCTCAGATCCAGGCAATAAACAATAAAAGAGATATTTGTTTGGAAACTCTTTTTATGACCCTCTACTTCTAACTTCACTTTGAAGCAAATGCCAGATTGATTAATTTTTAACTTAAAAAAAATCCCTATGCTTCATTAAATGAACAATGTAGTAAAAGTTGGTTTTAGAAATGGATGTAGAAATAGTGTCCCAACTCTCATACTTAATTTATTTGCTCCTTTTCTCATTGATATTATTAACCCATCTTCTTATTAAAAAGTTTCATCATGACTCATTCTTGAAGTTGGGAAATTCAGCTTTAGTTTTAAGTTTATCAGATGTTCTCAGAATGCTCACACTTCAGACTGTGGGAAAAGGATGCAGCTGAACAGTAATATATTAACAATATGTGTTGAAAAATCAGTTCCTTGTTGACTGTATACAAAACACAAATTTCTAATAGCTCTTAATGGCAGTACTTCCTCTGTGGATTATGTAGGAAATTCTTTTGTCTGAATAATCATTCCCAGGGGGAAAGCTTTCAAAATAAATTCACTTTATACAGAGGGATAGAGAATGCATGTATATGTATGTGTGTGTGTGTGTGTGTGTGTGAGAGAGAGAGAGAGAGAGAGAGAGAGAGAGACTGATTATTGTGGAATACTGAGTTAGACAGCACATATGCCTTGTATAATTAAAGAACATAATTTGAAGGTAGCAACAGTATCTAATTATATAAAATACTCTGTGTGCTGTTGCTTGTCATCACACTGTTTAAAATAAATTAATAGCAACAATGGACCGCTGATCCAAGTGTTACAGAAAACAATGTTGGGAAGACTAGGTTTTCATTAAGAAAAAAAAAACAACAACACTGAAAACTCTAATTGTATAGTTAGAGAAGAAATAACTATCATGCTCCTTTTGGAATTACCTAGGCCCATAAAGACAAAGTGGATTATTTCCCCTTAGTTATCTTGACTTGGGTTACAAGCTTCTCTGCTTCATTTTGGATTGGAGACATCTAGAAAGTGAACTTTTAATAGGAGTGAAATGCTACATTCCTGGAGTCCTCTTTAGTGAAATGGTTCTCAACTTGGTGCTATTACATGGGGGGTATGTTGTATTGGGTGTGTGCCTTTTCCAAACAATAATTTCTCCACACCCCAGCCCTTTGTAATTTTTTAAAAGTTCTCCTGGTGATTCTATACTATGGCCTAGTCCAGTCACATACTTACATCTCCTATCAGAACCCACTTTTTAGGGACTGTGAATAGACTGTTTCTAAAAGATCCATTAGTGTTCTAGATGAGTCAGTTAATTTCACATAAGAACACTTTCATCTTAATAGAAGTCTTTTTTAAAATCGAGTTTGGCCCAGACCCAGAAAGACTAAGAATGTGAACAAATGCAATTTTATATATGAATAGTAGTAAATAAAAGGGAAGATACGAATGCTGTTAGTGTGGTGACTGGAATGGGGAGAACAGAGATGTTTTCTAATGGGTTGAGGTGTGAGGGGTCAGCTAATCTTGGAAGTGAGGGTCATTTTTTTAAAAAGAAGGACACACACACACGCACACACATGCACATGCATGTACAAGTGCACCTATGTCTTGTGAAAAGTGGTAGCCTTTCCCAGAGAGACATTAAGGTTATCTAGTACATAAGCCACTTCTCATAGATATGCAATGCTTAAAATATTAAATCCATGCCTTTATAAGTCTGCTTGGCCTAACTTCAGTTTACATGTCAAAAAAAAAAAAAAAAAAGAGTACCCTTAGACTGATAAATTGATCTTGGGAAGGGGGTCAACCTTTATAATGGTGTTGGTGAGGTTTTGTCAGGGCAATATTCTAGTGTGTTAACTAATAATGGGGTGTTTGTGTCCCTTCCTATTACCTGTGGCTAAAGGGATCTCTCTCAGTTCCTCTTACTGTTAATTTCACATATGCAATAAGATAGTCCCCAAAACTAGTTAAACACACTTTTCCCCCCATAAGTCTTACTCTTGGCAGATTCATTCATGATGATATAAAATAAAGCAAATAAAATATCTTGACACAGTCTTCATGTGAGAGTTCAGGATAGGAGTGACCCGTCTCTGGTTTTGGAGCCTGGAGGGTTAATGATGAAGTGAGGCTGTCAACAATCAGAGGTGTTTCAAGTCCTGGTTTTTCTGAGTGTTCTCCACTTCTTACTTTGAATGAATGACCTGAATGAGAATGCTAAGATTTTCCTTTTTAACCTTATTCCATTAAAAAAGGGGAACCTTCAAAAAAAGGGGGAGCCCTCTTGCACTGTTGGTGGAAATGCAAGCTGGTGCAGCCACTCTAGAAAACAGTATGGAGGTCCCTCAAAAAGTTGAAAATAGAGCTATGACACAGCAACTGCACTACTGAGTATTTACCTCAAAGATACAAATATAGTGATCCAAAGGGGCACCTACACCCCAATGTTCATAGCAACGATGCCCACAATAGCCAAACTATGGAAAGAGCTCTGATGTCCATTGAAAGATGAATGGATAAAGAAGATGTGGTATATATGTAAAATGGAATAATACTCAGCCATCAAAAAATGAAATCTTGCCATTTGCAATGATGTGGATGGACCAGAGGATATTATGCTAAATGAAATAATCAGAGAAAGACAATTATCATATGATTTCACCTATATGTGGAATTTAAGAAAAAAGACAGAGAATCGTATGGGTAGGGAAGGAAAAATAGAATAAGGTGAAATTGGAGAGGGAGACAAACCATAAGAGACTCTTAGTCATAGGAAACAAACTGAGGGTTGCTGGAGGGGGTGTGGGGTGGGATGAGGTAACTGGGTGATGGACACTAAGGAGGGCATGTGATGTAATAAGCACTGGGTATAAGACTGATGAATCACTGGCCTCTACCTCTGAGACCACTAATACATTACATGTTAATTAATTGCATTGAATTAATTAATTAATTGAATTTTTAAATAAAAAATTGTTTAATTGCTATATTGTACACCCAAAACTAACACTGTTAATAATATGGAAGTTAAAATAAAAAATTTAGGGGCACCTGGGTGGCTCAAAAAAAACCCCACCCTAATTCCATTCAAAAACGTGATATTACAGGTATTCCTTTCTGTTAACCTGATTTTAGTAACATTCAGATATACAAGCTGGTCAAGTCTGATATGACAGGGTAAGTCATCTAGCTATGAAAGTAACACACCAATGTAAAAAACTGTCCAGAATGACCTCTTTCTGTGAATTTTCCCAACAGTCATGGTACATTTTCAAAAGGCCTTTTTTTTTTTTAATTAAGGAACGTTTATCAGAGAATGCCTAATTGAGAAAAATATTGCATCGGTAAATTGCTCTGCTCTAGACAACTGCTGCTCTTTCTTCTTCAGATTTAAAGTCCCAAATCACAATCCGTTTTAAGAGCTTCAAGTAATAATTACCTCTGTGTCCTTCAAAGGGTCTGCCGGTTCCCCTACACTCTTTTACAGGGTGAGCAGAGCTGTAGCCACTGATAACCCAGCTGCCGAGGAACTGAGTAAAGCCGGCTCCAAACTTCTCAGCTGTTGACAGGCTTGACTTGCTGAGAACACTGGTTAAATATAGCACGCGCGAGCTCAGCTCCTCAACAAAGTCATTGCTCCGACAGTGTTGTGAAGGGAGCAGAAGACGAGAAACCTAATCTCAGAACCCAACAACACCTAGCAACAGTTGAAAAAACTTTTAAACAAAAGTCTGGGTGGGAGATCTACAACAGCCTCCAATTTCTGCTGATCGGGATTTCAGGGAGAAGAAGCTGCTTTTCCCTTCCCTCTACTCAGTTTCCTGCATGACTTCAGCTGTTGGCTAGTCCTAGGAAAGAAAGTGGGAAAAGCTTTTTCCTCTGTATTCTTTTTGGGCTGGATAGTTTTCCAGGACTCCAGTCTCTCTGGGGTTGTGGGACAAGCCACTGGGTTCTTCAAAGGATAAACTACCTCCATAAAGGACATACCCTTGGTTAAACAAGCTGCCGTCAGGTAAGACCAAAATAAATAACTATTTACTCTCTTAAGAAATTTCTGCTTCCTTAAGATTCTGTGTTGTCAGTTTCCTTTGATTCTTACTGTTTCCACTATGTGATAACACATTTAAGGAATTATCATAATCATTGTGGATTATTTTTAAAGAATCAGTAACATCTCTCTCGGAATTATACCAGTTCCTTTTTAAACACAAAGCTTGTTACAATGTTTTAATAGCCATCAAAATATTTCTGCCAAGTTATCATTCTTGGGCAGGTAACAGAAATATGGCAAAGGACAACTTCATGGTTCCTTTCACAATTAAGATGGCTAAACAACGAAAGAGATTTTTTTCCCTGGAAGCAAAGTAACGTTCATTTACTGAAAGTAGCTGAGCAGCTTGTGTGGTAAATGAGAGGAAAGTCCTGTATGGTATTTGTGTTGCTGTACTTAAGACTTGCTGCTATCTGCTTCTCCCTTTGCCTGATTCTCTGATTACACTGGTACACCTTGTGCTGGTTCTGACCTGGTTACATTAGAATCACCCCAAGTGCTTCTGACTAGGCACAAAATACAGCTGCTATTAAATCCCTACTTTCACAGTTGTTGAATATAAACTGTTTGGGAGAATGTTTTTTTGTGATTTAGAAAAAAATAAATGGAGTAATTGCTTGTGTATAGATAAAACAGATCCTGATTTTTAAAATTGAAACAGAATTTATTAGAAAAAAAACTTTGTATTAAAATTGTATATATATGTATGTGAATATTATAGCGTGAAGGAAACCCTCCTTTATCTGTTGGTATATTGTCTCCCCCTTCCGTGCGTTGCCATGCAATTTTATCAGAATCGCTTAGTGATTGATATCACATTGATTCTGACAAAAGTTCTGGCTGAATGTTAGGATATGTTACTGATACCAGGTGTCTATAGTTGGGCTAGAGTTGCATAAGAAGCCTGTTCCTTTAGATGAATATGACAATTTGAATGGATAATCTAAGGATAATATATAAGAAGATACAGATGCACATTTTAAAAGGAGTTATTTGAGTCTGTTTTGTCAACTTAAAGAATTTACCTAGGACCAGTTTTGAACAGGTTGTTGTTGACAAATAAGAATGTGTCAGCCCCTTTCAGTAAATGTTCCTATTTTAAGAAAAAGTAATTAAAGCTAATATATCAAATGTGCAGGAAAATGAAATCGTACGTACATTTCAGTATGTACAGTGCTTCCTAGTTCTGACTGCATGATCATTTTCTGAAGTAAATGAAACTAATCATATATAATGAATGTATACAAGGACAGTGCAAAATGCACTTTGGTGACCTTGGTATCAGGGAATGAAACTCCTGGTACTTTACTGGAGATGAAGTATCTTCATCTTGAAAAAGTTCTGAAAAGTCAGAACTACATGCTTTACATTTTTCTTGTTTTTATCTTAGGAATGGTCACATTGTTGGCTTACAAATGTATGTGTAAGGCCAAAGTATGCCATTAGTTCTAGGCATGTAATTTCTTTTGGAGTCAGTAGGACAGTGTTAAGTAACTGAATACAGCATTTGGCCCTGGGTGAAAGCCATGTTTTCTGATGAATCGATTTTTGATTATCATTGTCTCCATGGCTGTAAATTTACCTCTGAGAATCAAAACTAGCGCGGTTAGACCATGTGCTTCCCTCCAGTATACGAACAATCAAACCCACCGTGAACCATATAGATTCTGTTCTCTTGTTTACTCAAATTCACGTCTGTGTTATTTGCAATCTACCCTTTCCCCTTCATCATAAGGGTTGTTAGATTCCATTGCTGTATCTCCTACCACACTGAGGCCTCTTCCCTTCACTCTCAGTCTGGATTGTAACAGTGCGGCTCTCCGATGACCCCCTCATTGCCATCCAAACTATATTGCCAATGACCACAGGGTTAATTTTCCTAAAACATTGCTTTACTTGTGTCTCTACTCTTCCGTTATCTTCTGGGACTCCTGGTTGCTGCCAAACACCTAAGCTGGGTATTTTGAAGACCTTCCATCATCTGGCACATACTTAACTTTTCCAGTTTCAGCTCCCACTACTCAACAACAAGTGTCCTTCTGCTTCAGATATTTCAGATTTTGGGCCATTCTCCAAACACATGCACAGGGCACATTTCAAAGCTACACCTCGGCCTGTTTCATTCCCCCTGCCTGGAATACTTTTCCTCTCCTTCCCTGTGTAGAGACCTTATCTGCTCTTTAAAGCCCAATCAGTGCCTTCTACTTTCACAATGATTCCCTGACCATACCTTTTTAGAAGCGATTCCTTTTTAGACAGTTTGGTGCTCTATTAGAATTGAGGTATTTGGGGACAGGGTTTACATCTTTAAATTCAGAACAATTTAATGAAGCAATTAGGTGCAAAGCATTGTCCTAAGCACCACTTGGTTTTAGGGCTTTTTATTGCCATGCACACAGTGGCTGTCCTACTAACATTTTTGGCTCTAGATTTCTGTTGATGAGTGCATGAGAAAAAGTGTAAGTAAGTATAAAATCAAGAAGAGCAACTGTTATGTGTGTAAGTATGTATAAAATCAAGAAGAGCAACTGTTATGTGTGTAACTTTTTATCTCAAAAATTGCTCAAGGCACGTCTTCATAGTTCAATATGCACGGAAAAGTTACAAGTAATTCTAACTATGCTCATGTACCTGATTGTGGAGATGATGTACCTCTTGAGAACGAACTAGAAAGAAGTATATATAAAGACTGTATATATACATGCTTGTCCTGTGTATGCATCTGCCCACCTAAATGTTATAACTCATATAACTTTTATCGTCTTTTGGTATCAGATTTAATTTGGTTCTGTTTATTTAAGTCATGGCTCCTTTTATTTGTGGGCCATCATGGATTACAATCTGGCCCAGAACATTAAAATATTTATATACCATATTATGATCCCTCTTTCTTTTTTCCCCTAGATATTTAAAAATAGAGACATTTCTCAGATTTATTTTTAACCACTTAGGAAACCTATAGCCTTACTGTGTGAAATAAAACATGAATTATGATTTTGAAGCAATTTTTGTGTCCACCAAAAGAAAGGTATTCTTTTTATATTTTAAGATAGCCAAGGAGGTTACTTCTAAAAGTATTTAGTGAGAATCATAGGATTTTTCCCAATGAAATTTGTGAAATATTCAATATATTCACTTAGTGGTGGTTTTCCTATAGTTATATTTTTAATTCATTTGTTAGAAGTGAAAATTGGGAAAATACACAGTCTAAACTCATGCATTTTTCTTTTTTGGGAGATGAACATTTCTTCATATAAAACAGGTGCCCTAAGAAATAGGATTTTACAGAGCTTGTCTTATTTTATTTCTCTATACATGTGGGTTTTAGGAAAGTATCACCTTAGGAAGTGAGGGGGAAACCTTAGGTTGAGATCTATTTCAGCAGAGAGATTTAAGAGAGGATATTGGTAACAGTTTGTTAGAAATATGACATCTGAAAGACTGCAACATAGATTCATTTATACATTAATTATTTTTAATATATATATATAGCAATAGAAAGATAAGCTAATGCAATATATTTTGTTTCCTTAAATCTGAGTTGAAAATACAACAAGGGTATTGGTATGAAGGAGGAGGCAAGGAAGGCTAGCAGCATAGGCAGGCCAGATGGCCTGGATTCAGATCTCCACTCACTGTGACCCTGGGCAAATTACTCTCTGTGCCTCAGTTTCCTCATCTGTAAAATGAGAATAATAATACTATCTTCCTCAAAGAGTGGTTTGGAAGATTAAATGAGTTAATAAAACTCAGTTGCCTGGTAGACTTTTCAATAAATTTAAGCTATTATTGCTTTATTATCACATCCTAAATGGAGTTTTCAGTTTATTTTAATCTTTCTTGCACACAAAATTCTTAGATACAGATAGCCTGTGAACTCAAGTTCATAGATCATAGGAAAGGCAGAAGAATGTATTGTTTAAATTTGGAATCCTGTTTGGGACATACTTTGCTGCTGGGTACTCTAAGCACACATAGTTTGAACGCCAGCCAATAATTTAGTATGGAATTTATGTTTCAAACCCTCCCTTATCACTCAGCAGTCTGCTGTCTTATAGAATCATTACTAAAAAGGCTAAAAAATCACCCAAAGCATAGACTGTTCTATGGTTTCTATATTTGCACTTGGAGATAAAGTGTGTTTATGTATTATGCTTGGCTGTCTCTTTTATAGCCTACAACATTGGGTAATGTATGGCAGTGGAGATTTCCTCCTCTATAGAAAATATACTATTAATTTTATTACTCTTTATTTCTTCCTTTAGATGTTTTGTTTTGTTTTATTAACCTAGTAACAGATAAAAATGAAAAGACCAAAAAAGGTCATCTCACGCTGGCTTTAACCTTACCAAATAGAAATGAATTCTTGCTCATCATCCTTAGTCCTATTCATTCTTCTTAAACACGACAAGAAAGTATATTCCAAGGCAAACAAACAAACAAACAAAAATGCTGTTATGTCACAAAGATGTGTGTGTATTATAGGGCACTTACTACTCTACTATGCATTTAATTTAACAAAAATATTTCAAACACTCTTATAAACAGGGAAGTTTCTTAGTAGCTTTAGCGCTAACAAACCTTATGCCGGGTAGTTATGGCTTTGACCTGACCATTTGCTTTATTTTTCCCAATCGAAAGGATAAATTTTTAAAAGATAAGGCAAACTGAGATTTAGAGTTGTCGTTCTTTAATGAAAGCCTTGCTATGGAAAGAGAGAAGGAAGAAAAGAAAAAAATAAAAAAGAACTTTCCCTGGTTTTACAGGATACATTATCACGGCTTTAGGGTGAAAATATATTGGGTTCTCTTCTTTTTCCTTAAATGGTCATTCCTACTCTTTGGCTAATCAGAGAAAGGAAGAGGCTACAGGCAGAGTTCTACTTTTCCTGTGGCAATAGCTGAGGCAGTTTGCTTTCAAAGGCAAGGCAGGAGTTATGGAAGAACTTAGAATAAGAAAAG